CACAGACACACACACACAGACACGCACACACACACACACTTACTGTGATGTTTGTGTCTAATGATATTCAGACACAAAGTAAAACAATCCTGCAGCGCTTGTATCTGTATCTATACAAACTTTCATTTATATTGAGCTGCTATTAATATTAATAAAATCTCAGGACTGTTCCAGCAAGAGCTGCTCATCTCTCACCAATTCAGCTCCATACTGAAAATATGATAATACTGCAATATGATAAAAACATGAACATTATCTAAAATATTATGTAAATAATATAAAATAATTTAATATTGAATTATATTAAAACAATAATATGAAAATAAATGACATTATTTCAATATGATAAAAAATATTCAAAATTAGGGTTAGGGTTAAACTAAATATTGCAACACGTGATATATGAAATAATACAAAAATATTATAAAAATAAAAAATGAAAATAATAAAAATATTAATTACAAATTTCAATGAGGATAATAACATATTGCAACATTACAAAATAAATATAAAAATATTAAAAAATATATATAATTCAATATGATGATAATGCTATATGATATATATGATAAAAATATCTAAATAATATAAAAATATAATAATATTTAAATTTCATAATAATGATATAAAATACTATAATTTGCAATATAATAAAATAGATAATATAAAAAAAGAATATGATAAATTTGCAATATGCTAAAATAATATGATAATAAAAATAACAAACACACATGCAGATATATTTTATATTTTTCTGTCAGTGTGAGAGCAGCAGCAGCGTGTGGCCGCACTTTTATCTGTTTATCATAGCGATTAAAGCAGTATTTGACAATAACTGCGCTGAATAATCACACTGTAATGCTGCTTTAGAGTCAGAACGGAAGGTTTAGTGCTGAACTCGTTGTTGTCTCATTGAAGAACACTGTTTCTCTTCCTATTCATGACTGCTATGGCTGCTATATTTGGTGGCGGTGTAAAGCTCTGTGTATAAAGCGCTATGTTTGACTGATCCGCACCTCGGCCCAGAGACTCCAGCAGGTTCTGCACCACCTCCTCCAGCCCCAGCAGGTAGATGAACTGGTTACTGGCCGCTGACGGCACGAAGGTGAGCTGCGGCGAGGACGGTTTGGGCGGAGGGATCTCCAGCAGCGTCTTCTCCAGCTGTTTGCGCAGCGCTAGTTTAGCCGCCTGACGGCTGTCTGGAGACAGACTCGCATTCGAGCCGCTCTTCAGCTTTGAGCCGGCGGCCTGCGGGACAGAGTCAGCGAGCAGCATTATACTAGCATTACTATAACGCTGTAACGATGACGATGATTCTGCGGCTGCACAACGGATTAGGTGGAACGCCTGGTAAACCACATTTATAATGATCATAATTACAAGATGACGCTGAGTTTTTGAGGACTTTAAGACTTGCACAAATAAAATGAACCGCATGGAAGCCCGTTTCTGCCACGGTATTAAAAAAAAACACTTTCTCTCAAAAATAAACAAACAAACAAACAAGACTTTTCATCTCACAATTCAGATTATTCTTCCTCGCAATCCTACATATATCCAGAATCACGAGATATAAACTTGCAATTTTGAGAAAAAAAGTCAGAATTGTGAGATGTAAATGCAGAAATGCAAGATATAAACTCGCAATTGTGAAGAAAAAAAAAAAAGAGTCACGGTTACCTTTATTTTTTAATCCATGGCAGAAAAAAAACAGGACAATTGCGAGATATAACCTCATAATTCAGTGAAAAAGTCAGAATGACCTTATTTATTTATTCTGTGGCAGAAACAAGCACCTACAGAACAAACTCAACATAAATCCTGAATCTCAGATCTTTTACTAAAGCAATCGAATGTTACAATATTACAATATAAACACCATAAATTAAATACGGTCATAATTCATCAACAGTAGATCATTAGCGACTGCTTGGCATGACTGTGTGATATTCACTGATTTCCTGCGTTTTTACTGTAAGAGTCCGGTTTTCCAGCTCCAAATTTAACATATTTGTGACCCTGGAGCACAAAACCAGTCATAAGGGTCAATTTTTTTAAATTGAGATGTATGCATCATCTGAAGCTGAATAAATAGGCTCTCCATTGATGTATGGTTTGTTATGAAAGGACAATATTTGGCTGAGATACAACTATTAGAAAATCTGGAATCTGAGGGTGCAAAAAAATCCAAATATTGAGAAAATCATCTTTAAAGTTGTTCAAATGAAGTTCTTTGCAATGCATATTACTAATCAAACATTAAGTTTTGATATATTTATGGTAGGAGATTTACTAAATATCTTCATGGAACATGATCTTTACTTAATATCCTAATGATTTTTGGCATAAAAGAGAAATGTATAATTGTGACCCATACAATGTATTGTTGGCTATTGCTACAAATATCCCCCAGCGACTCAACACTGCTTTTGTGCTGCAGGGACACAGATAAATCGGATTGAGACATTATAGGACTGAGGTTTAGGATTGTGTGTAACACTCATGATTAAAGTCAGATCAAGTTCTTATTCTGAAACACTGACTCTGTTTTTTAATGCTCTTCCTGATGATCTGTATTCAGCATTAAACACCTGATTTAATCAGACTGATGGAGAAGCGTCACACACCTGGCTGATGCTGAGAAGCAGGCCTGTGCTGGAGATGGAGGTCATGCGTATGAGGCCGGGCTGGATGATCTTCTGTCCCGAGACGCTGCTCAGCGTGGCTCTGGGAGCGAGGAGCAGCGGAGGAGGCCCTGAGGAGTTCTGCTGCTGTCTCAGGATGGAGATCTGCTGCGGCGACACTGAGATCGACTGCAGCGCAAGAGAGAAGCATCACTGTGTGTTCAGACGGTAACGAGACACACAGCAGCTGTGTGACGCACCTGAGCTCCTCGGACCAGCGGCGGCAGGATGATCTGAGCTCCGGCCAAGCCGTGTTTGGACAGCTGAGCGCCGCGCACCAGCGGAGGAGGAATCACCGTCCCAGAAGCCCGAGCGGAGATCACCTGATCAACACATTCACAACCAGACGCCAGAGCGCTCACTTCTGTTACTGGACACAAGACCTTCTCTTACAGTGTCCTTCTTACACAGCACATGCACTCACTGCTGTTATAATAGTAAATTACGTATTATTACAACCAACTAACCCTAAACTGAACCCCAAGTTTACAGTAAGTACATGCTGTTAATTACATTTACTTCAAAATGTACAATTGTAACAAGAACACTGTAAAAGAGTGTAATCAAAAGACATTTTATAGACGATTACAAAATTACGAAGCACTTTCTGGCTACACATTTCAGAGCTGGATCAGTCATGTTTATAATGTTGTGTGTTAGAGCGTGTGTGTGTGTGTGTGTGTGTGTGAGAGTGTGTGTATGAGTGAGAGTGTGTGTGTGTGTGTGTGAGTGTGTGTATATGAGTGAGTGAGTGTGTGTGTATGTGAGTGAGTGAGTGTGTGTGTATGTATGAGTGAGTGAGTGTGTGTGTGTGTTTCATGAACTCACAGGTTGTGCTGTTTTCCCAGCAGCAGATCCCTTCACTAGAGGAGGAGGAGCGCTGGACACAGGAGCCGCCGGCTGATCGAGACACAACAGAATGATCATCATTAACTCGGTCAGTTTAAGTCCTTTCACACTATTTGACCTGCAGATACACACTGGGTCAGCCGGTTATGTTACTAAATCATCGGCTGTGCTACTAAAGATCAGCGTCACATGAGATTCTGCAGTTTGATGCAGAGTGTGTTTGTACCTTCTGTGCGCCTTTGTCTTTGTGTATGTGACTCTGTCTGAGTTTCTTGAGCAGGATGAGTTTGGCCTCCTCTAAACGCAGCTCCTCCTTCAGCTGCTTGATGACGCGCTCGCGCTCCTTTGGAGAGCTCCTCTGCACGCGCACACACACACAATATTACACAACAGAAAATATACCATACATGAAAAGTACTAAATACGCATGAATCTGCCACAGAAACTGCATGTCCACAAACACAATCTCTGTTCAACACGACTCGTAACACACGTGTGTAGCTGTCATGTGTCGTTTACCATCAGCAGATCCGTGTCCAGCTCTTTGACGAGATTTCCTCCGTTCCCCGGCGGACTGGGCTCCTCGTCCGACAGAACGATCACATCCTCAGGCGACGGAGAGCTCGCCTCTCTCTTCATCGCACTGCAATCAAACACAGGCTCGTTAAACGTGACGAGCAGAGCACTGAGAACTCATTCCTGCTGTGTTTGATTAATCTGGATCACATAATCAGATCCAAAGAATTAAGTACTCGTAATTAGATTATATGACATTTTAGAATACTCAATCAGACTAGCTACTCTTTTATTAATTAAATGATTACATATTATTCACACAATGGCAGTAAATGATTCATAACTTATTTATATATTTAGGCAAAATATATATTTTTTGTGTTTAAGTGTTTTATTTTGATTATTTAAATATAAGTTTATTTAATATAAGTTTTATTATACATAAATTGTTTACACAAACCCCCTGCAGTTCCTTCACAAACCCCAGTTTGGGTCTTTCATGTTGTTGATAAAAATAGATTTATTATTTTCTATATTTTCTATTTTCATTTTCCCCCGTATTTTTTATATATATAGTTTCAGGTTTTTTAAAAATTTGTTATAGAATATATTTTCAGGAATAGAGTAGCAAAAAGGCAGAAAATTTCAGGAAAATTTCCAAAACTTTCAAGAAATTTTGGAAACTTTTCTGAATTTTTTTTAACTTTCGGAAAATTTCAGCAATTTTCCACCCCTTTGCAACCCTACTCTGAAATGACTATTTTACAAAATGATCCTATTTCAATCTATGCAATAAATGATATAAGTCAACGAAATCTAAAAGTAGTCCAAAATTAACAATCATTTATATGAATTAATTTGTAATCAGTAACTGACTGAATTGGTAAGCCCTGATTACTCCTGTCTGAACTTGTGCTGGTCAGTGATGAGATCGATGCCCACTAGAGGGGGACAGATAGGAGATCATCCAATCAGCTGTGAGCTCAGAGGAGCAGCGATCACATGACACGCAGCAGAGGGCAGATGGCAAAGTCAGGCGTGATCTGAGACAGCTTTCAGAACAGCACTAGTGATGAGTGACTAGTAACAGTTTCATCAGGACATCCATCAGTGATGATGAGTGAGAGCAGAGCAAACACACCGTATGTTTCTCTGATCGGGTCTGAGGAACATGGACTGAAGCCCTGAAGCCCTGAAGCTCCTGAGATCTGCATCTGAGTGTCTCAGAATCACAAGCCCAGCAAACATCCTCAGTGCAGTGAAGCCGTTTCTCTGAATCGTTTCTTCATCAGACAAACTCAAATATGCTCAAGTTCATGCACATGTTCACGGTTCTCTGATAGTGCTCAGTGAAAAATATTTTATCTTATAGTAAATGATTTATGTTGACTGGTTTAATTTTAAGATTTTTTTAAATTGTACATTTTTATGATTTAATTATTAGCTTTTTATCAGTTTGAGAAACGCTGGTGATCATAAAGACACAAACTGGACATATTTGCATCTGTGCATTTTGCAGATGCTTTAATCCAAAGTGACCTACAAAAGAGGAACAAAAACAATTCATCGCAGAGACAACAATATTGATGTTTATTAGAAATCTAGATGAGGTGAATCTGTGAATCGGCACTGGTGAGTATAAAGTGAAAGTGACAGCGGAGTGTGTGTCTCAACTGAGACCTGAGCGCTAGTAATGCTGGGATACAACAGGATCACACAGGATCAGCAGGAGTTTGTGAAAGGCTTCAACGGGCCTGTAAACACACACATGCACACGCACACACGCTCTCACACTCACACACTCTTACACGCACACACACACAAACACATACGCACTCACACTCACACACACACACTCACACCCACACACACATACGCACTCACACACACACTCTCACGCACACTCACCCACACTCTCACGCACACGCACACTCACAGACACACACTCACGCTCACACATGCACACTGACACACACTCTCACACACACTCTCACTCACACAAACACACACTCACGCTCTCACACACACTTGCACACGCATTCACGCACACTCTCACACCCACTCACACTTGCACACGCACTCACGCACACTCTCACACCCACACACACACATACACACTCACACACACTCTCTCTCACACACACTCTCACGCACACACACTCTCACGCACACACACACATACGCACTCAAACACACACTCTCACGCACACTCACACTCACAGACACACACTCACGCTCACACATGCACACTGACACACACTCTCACACACGCACACTCACTCACACATGCACACTCTCACACATGCACACACACACACACGCTCTGGACTCCAGAGAGAGGAGACTGTCTTTGTGTGAGATCAGTCTCTTCCTGTGCATTAATCACCCAACTAAACACGTGTCACGTGACCCACCGCATGTTCTGCTGATGTCACGTGACACCCCTCCCCCTCCCCTACTGGAAACCATGACAACTAGCCGGTTGGAACCGGTTAGTGACACATGGCCTTCATTTTGTGAAGTGAAGGAGCGTTCAGGTGCTGCCAGAAAATGGAGAAACTTTGGGGGGGGGGCTTTGGGTTGAGGGACAGGACAAACTCACACACACACACACACACACACACACACACACACACGGCAAACCTGACTGTAGTTTACAAGAAAATCATGAAAACAAACAATCAACCTGGTCTCTCTCTCTCACACACACACACACACACTCGACTTCCTGTTTCACACACAGCTGCTCCCACAGAATGATCGCTGCACTTATTAAAGCTGATTCATCAACATCATCAAATGTGACGCTCCACAGTCATATAACAGCTGTGGGATTGTGGGAAACATTTCCCAGGATTCCCTGATCCTCTAAATGCCCACCTGACCAGTGACGATTATTCACTTTAAGACTTTAAAGACAAACAATTTCTGTTACAGAAATAAATGCTGTTCTTCTGAACTTTCTATTCATCTGTGAATCCTGAAAAATTAAATGTATCACGGTGTCCACACAAATATGAACTGTTTTCAACATTGATAATAATCAGAAATGTTTCTCGAGCAGCAGATCAGCATATTATACTGATTTCTGAAGATCATGTGACGCTGAAGACTGGAGGAATGATGCTGAAAATACAGCTGCGCATCACAGAAATAACTCACAGTTTAACAGAGATTCACAGGCTGGTATCGCACTGAATGTTGGTCATCTGATGGTGGTTTTCCTTCACTTTCCAAGTCACTCATATGAAGTAAGCTGATGTTTTGTAGACACACACACACACACGCTATTGTCATGTAAAGGCTCCTCACGTGTTGCTCGTGTCCATGGGCTCGTCTCCCGTCTGCAGCTCTACTTTGATGGTGGCCTTCAGGATGCTGGAGTCCTGGACCGCCACAGCTGTCTCTGATCGGGAGCGCTCGACGCCATCCAGCTTCAGCCGCTTCCCGTCTGCGGCCTGAGAGTCCCGCTCTAGAGCACGCTTCTGACTGCGCGTCTGCCTCACCGTGTCCTCAGACATCACCGCACCTGAACACACAAAACATCACATCATTATGGAAGTGCATCGTCATGAACACCGGTCTGATCTGGGATCAGCTTCAGATTCTAATTTACACTAACACACTGACTGATTTTAAGTCTCGGTTTCTCTGGTTTAGGAACAGATAACCAATCAAAGGCTGCCTCAGTGCTCGACTCATCATATATATATATTCATGAACAGTCACAGAAACGTTCATGAGTCAATAAACGGTTAATAATACTGAAGTGTGACATCAGTCTGTTTTCTGCCACATGCTCCAATGAGCCCAGACGGAGAAACAGGTCATGCAATAACCTCAAAAATATGCAAATGAGAAGAAATGCACAGAGTGAAATCTAAAAACCTGAATCCAGAATTAGCGTGACACAGGATTACAATAACCAGGTTAATAATGTGTGTGTGTGTGTGTGTAATAAACAGGAAAATAAATGATGTAAAATGCATCAATCATGAAGCTGTGTCATTACTCAGATCATTCAGTTCAGTGTTGATTTTAGTTCAAAGTGAAGCCCTGTCTGATTTCCCAGAGGTCAGTGGGCCAGTGATGCACAACAGGTTTCATCGACAAAGAAAGACAACATGAGCTCGTTCCTCTCATCAGCACACTTCCTGTATGACAGGAAGAGCCACACGCACACGCACACGCACACGCACACGCACACGCACACAGATAATGGAAAGCTGACTCGAGTTGTTTTCTCTCCCACCCGGTGACATCACAGAGACACACATGACCCTTCCCAGGATTCCATGGGGCACATGACGCACTTTCCTGAGAACCGGTTGGAACCGGTAAGTGTGTGACAGAGAGACGAGAGTTAACCCTTTGTGGGTAGAGATGCATCATGACAGGAGAACCTCGCTCTGTTCTGCAGACCACTAGTTAGTGCTGCTGGTTAAGTCAAGCAGTACTGTCACTAGATCTCAAACACTTTCACCAGCTGGATGAGAAGATCTCAGAGCACCACAGCACCAGAACACACTCTTCCTGGTGTTTTACACCTCGGTCCTCATTCACTGTTCAACTGCATCTAAAAACTGATTCTTAAAAATCTGTTTGTGAATAAAAAGTTGTTTCACGAAACCGTTTGTGCTCTACAGAGGAAATAAATACGTGAGGGTCAGTTCTTCTTCTGAAGTTAGGCCACAGTTTTATTGGGAACAATCCCTTTTTAAAGCTGAAGAGAATCTGGATTACCATTGTGTGTGTGTACAGAATACAGGAGTGACTCCCGAACTCAGCGGTAACCATAGCAACAGCAATCTCATGGCTGTAGACGAGAAACACAAAGTCAATGGTTACAGTCACGTGGTGTCAGATATTGCTGATCAAAATAATACCGTATTAAAATTCAACAATCAGATCCAGCTCAAGTCCATCTAACGCTGGTCTGAGTGTTTGGACAGGATCTGAAGATGATCACGAGAAGCGATCCAACCACCGTCACAGACTATCTAGAGTCGGCTCTTCATCATCACACTGACCGCAGCGTTCCAGAGCAGCACGGACTCATTCCTGACACTTTCCTTCACTTAATAACTGAAACAGACCAACCCAGAGCAGCGTCAGAGGTCAGGTGGCCACGCGGTGGGCTGATCGGGTGTCTGCAGGTGATAAAATGGCGCCGCAGTGTTGTGTTACACGTCCCTGGCGGCTAACACACACACTCACTCACTCACACACACACACTCTCACTCTCACACACACACACTCATTCACCCACTCACACTCACTCACTCACACACACACACACACACACACACTCACTCACACACACTCACTCACTCACTCACACACACTCTCTCACTCTCACACACACACTCACTCACACACACTCATTCACCCACTCACACTCACTCACACACACACACACACACACACACACACTCACACACGCTCACTCACTCACTCACTCACACACACTCTCTCATTCACCCACTCACACTCACTCACTCACTCACACACACACACACACACACACACACACACACACACACACACACACACACCCT